TTTCACTTATTTTAACACCCAAGTTAAACTAACGCGAATAGTCACAGACAAAAAGGAAGATAAAGGCATCTTGCATCCTGACATTTTCCTATACCTTTATTACCTACAATTGAGTGACATTATGCACTGCGCCTCATSTTGAATCGACCCCCATAATCTATTCTCTATACGGGCTTCCTGTGGTCAAAGGTTAGCAAATGCATCATACCTATTTATATCTTGATTTATAAGCCTCGATTGCACGCTTCCGGGTATTCGGGGAACTACCTTTGAACGATTTCACTTCAACTTCGATTCCTCAAAAACAGAAAATCATTGTCTTCAGTCCTAAATTAATCACCATGCAATCAGCAAATTGGTAAGTCGAGCCTAAATACTGTTAGTAAGAAATGTCTAATGCCTGTAACATGCTGTAAAAAGTTAGTTTACAAAAGTAAATCCTACMGACAAGAGAAGCCATTACTTGGAATTGAAGATCATTTTCGATTCCTTGACATACTTTTACATCATCGCATATTCTTAATATGACTAATTTCATATAGTTATCGATAGCAAAAACAGAAGTTATAATATTATGTGGCATATACTAATATAGGACCGCTATAAATCTAAAGGATGCAAGCTACACTCAAAAACTTTCATTTTGCAGTGTGTCAATCACAAAACCGTAACATCAGCGACTCTTGTAGGTGAGTGCATTCCATCATAGAAATTATCCATCCAACAAATACTTTATTTATCGCTTTGCGTGCTTAAGCATCACAAAATCATCAATATACATGAATTTTCAAGCCATAACTGTGCTTTGCTATCGAAATTATAAGTCAGAAGTACTTAGCATCTGTATAAAAAGAGTCATGCATGAGTCACATCAAGTGCCACGCACCGACACTTTTGACTAAAATTTCGAACAAAATTGAGGAATTTTATAAATTTTTAAGAAATTGACGCTAAATTAAAATAAATTATGATAGCCAATACGAATTGTAATCGTTCTAGTTATGAATTTAGATATTTGAAGACTGAAGTTGTTCACAATCAAGGTCACCGAACTGATTTATACGGCTTATGTTTGGTGGGATGTAACTCGTTAAACCACGCACTGCAATGCCTTCAAATTAGACTAGAATATKTACTTTTAAATGCTCTATAACAACATATATGTAAAGGAATCGAATTCGGAACGCTCAACCCTAACTTACTTTCGGTTTTTAAATCGGTATCGCGTGACATCGCGTGACTGTCTGTCCTGATAGGTCCTCTTCTGGTCACGCGATACGTTTGTGAGAGTGATACTAGAGAAAACTGCAAACCCGTATAGCACGTTAATTAGCATGTAATCTGAYGACCCATATGTTTGGCTAAGAAAACAGTTTCTTTATCAATTCTTCAAATAAAAAAAAATTCAAACTGATCGGGAAAGAGCCATTACACCAGACAGAATGGACGTCCTGTGAGATGAAAACGTTAATGAAGTACCCATTTTAATACATATAATTAATTAAATACATATAATTAGTGTTCAAGAAAATCCGGTACATTTTGAAAGTTTAAAACATCTTGACTTTTTCGACTACTCAGGGTTCCCGATCGAAGCCAAATCATAATGCATCTAGCCTGAGAAACAGTAATTAATACAAAAAAACAAACAAACAAATAAACAAACCAAAAACTGCAATAACCAAACAATTTTTCGACTACTTCACGGTTAATGGCATAGTACATTATTGAGACAACGATGGTGCCTGCTCTACTCTAYCATGTTAATTATGCACTAGTCAATTGCAACCCACGTCTCCCGACGCCCGGGGAAATTTAACGTTTGATTGGTATTTAAAAGACATTTTCACCGGTAATGGGGGGTATATATTCACTGTTAAAATCCCTGCTACTGTGAYCCCGCTATTTTGGTCTAGTATTTAATAACAAAACAAACACGGCCTTCAATCCAACTCAAATTTTCTGTGATACACTGGGCTGATTACGTGGGCTTCCTGTGGAAGACCACGTCTTAAAATGTCASTGGACCTTTCATTTTCGTYGTCGTCGTCGTGAATATTRGGCTTCAAATTGGTAGCGCCTGCGTTGCAGATGGTTTGCAGTCTCAGTTTCCATGGAGATGTCAAACTAAACCAATCCGCGCTTACTTTCATTTTTGACATGTGTTGTTTTGTACATCAGTCGGCCTCGTGGCCTGATCGCGATATCTAGCCTCAGTTAACTACTTAACTACTGTGACCTAGTTTGTGGCCAAGAAAAGCAAGCTGATCAATCACAGGGCAGTTAAGGCATGGCTCTCAGRAAAAATAGCGAATATTCACCAAATTTATTCTAAAAAATTGGCCTTTTAATAAATTTCCATCAAACTTGGCAAGTGTCTCCAATTTGATGAGTACTACATTTTTAGGACTTTTGTTGCCATGGAAACGAGATCACGTGACACCAGAGCGGCCATCTTGGATTTTTCTTTTGAGGCTCTTGAAAAATATCACAGACTCTATCAAAACAAGTGAAAATCCACAATCTAATAGTTACTATCACTTATTACATAAAACAAATTAGAAATTTTGGTAAACATTTGAAATAATTGAGAAAATATTTTTTTTGTCATTTTTTGAAACTTGTTCAAGGAAAATCAAAGCATCCTAAGAAAAATAAGGAAAACAACCCTAGGACGCTGATCTCACTTACAAACGCACACGCCGTTCGTGTAGGTCCATATACTAAAAGATGTTCAGCGTAATTTTTCGGAACGTGCCGCGGTCCTCAAAGTTCTTACTAGTTCTTACGAGATATCAAATGATTAAAACGAATCGTACCGTTTCTATTGTATGACGTATTTGTATGACGTTTCAGGTCAAATTTATTTAAAACTCACGTTTTTTGCATATTTTGAATAATCTAGACGCTCTTAGAACTGAGAAAGACAGGATATTTAAAGAAGTTACTTAGAAATCAGTTCGGTAAAAATTGTAATGTAGTAAATAACTTATATTAACCTATTTCTGTCCTGACTTATCTCAAACAAAGACTTAGCTAACTGTATCGTGAAAATGAAATACTTATAGCTTAATGGCGACAGTTGACCCATTGTCGCAGCTACAAGAAGCCCATGTAAGCGATATCCTTGATCGTCTAGTTTTTGTACGATCCTATAGGTTATACATTGTAATTATAAAATAAAACAAAAGAGGCGAATAAAGATCATTCTAATCCAGTCGTTCTCTTTTGCGTACTACATGAAGATAATAGAACGATTTCACATAACGATACAAAAAATGCAAATAGGTTTATTTTATGCAAATTTATTGACTGTAAAATGAATTCATGAAATCATGCAATACAGACTCTATTCTCTCACTTATTGCAGCTTTTTTGCTACTTTATATTATCATTACATCACAACAAAACACAAACAGATTTGACATGCTTCAGTCTTTGTGCCAAGCTTTGCTATAATTTCTATCATAGCACATGCAGACCTGTACCATGCAGCATCTAGTACAAGCTTAGCCTCAAATATTTTCAAAAAGGTTAACACGTCTTTCGGCCAAAAATACCACAAGATCAATGGCAGGAGGTAGTAACCACCTTGGGTGTCTCTTGGGAGTCAACCAATTTTTGAGAAAGCCAGCAAAGGCTGGCCAACAAAAAGTCAAGTCTGTAATTATATTTGGACTCAATAAAAACTGGTTTGTTTTTCTCGTGATGAATAACATTAAAATCCAATTATAAGATAGGAAACAATGCTGTAATAAGTGAGAAAATGAAGCGTGTATTGCATCATCACACGAGTNCATAAAAACATAGTAATTCCTCGGTATCTGCCTTTGCACGCTTAAATTGCCTTAAGAAATACAGCCTAGATGCAGCCTTCCTGGTAACTTCTAAGACATGGTTGTTCCATTTTAGGTCTTTGGAAATAGTAAGGCCGAGTAATTTGGCATTAGAAACAACTTCTATAGAATTGTTATTAATTACTATAGGGGAAAAATCACTACATGATTTTGAAAAAGTGATTCGTAATTCTTTACATTTAGCCTCATTAAGTTGAAATCGATCTGCCTTAGTTTCTTGAACAAAGTCGTCTACTACTGACTGCATATTACTGACGTCATTCTTTTGAACAGTCTCGGCAATCGTAGTATCATCCACGTACTTCCAAAAATTAGCGCGTCCAACATATAGGTCGTTGATCATGATTACGAACAGCCAAGGGCCGAGTTTGGTCCCTTGGGGGACACCGGCTGGAACACTCTTCCACTCAGAGTAACAATCCTGAGATAACTTAACTCTTTGTTCTCGGTTTGTGAGAAAATCTGCAATCCACTGGACAGTCCAGGAGGGTAAATTATACTGAGCTAGTTTGTTGAGGAGGATCCAATGATCAATCAGATCAAAGGCCTTCTTAAAGTCAAACAGAACCACACGTACGGTGGAACCATTCCCATCAGTGTTCTTATACCAGCTATACAACATGCATGAACGGTCGAGGAATTGGGTACAGTCCCGAATTGATTCGGGTCGATTTTCTCCAATACAGCAGGTTTAACATATCCTTCGACGACAAAATCCTCAGCCACCTTCGCAAGAATTGGTGTTAAGGAGATTTTAAGTGTTTATTTATATCTGTTACGTGTGACGTCTTTGGGAGAGGCGTAATATTGTCTTTTTTCCAAGAACTTGGTAGACGACGTTCCCGAAAGGAAGAGTTCAAAATATCTGCTACGGGTGCCGCTAGTAAATCCGCATTTTCCTTTAGAAGCCACGATGGTATGCCGTCAGGCCCTGGCGTACTCGGTGACAAGTCCACAAAGAGATCCCGGTGAGAGTAAGTTGACGTCTGCGGGCTGATCTGGAGAAGTCAGAGGATTAAAGATGGTCATTGGTGACAGAAAGGCATCATTGATTATACCGGCGAGGCGCTTCGGGCTTTCCCCTTCAATAGCAAGGTGTCGCAGATCATCCAAAGGACTCGCCCGTTCAGCCTTAGCGAAACCACTCAGTTTTTTAACTTCCTTCCACCAGAGCGCGGGATTGCAGTTCTTCAGATCTTTAACTTTCCCATTGTAGTATTTACCACGACATGCTTTCCTGACACGGTTTACTTTGTTCCTTAACCGATTGTATTCAGACGTATTGTCTCTAGCCAAGGACTTTTGGCGACGACGGATGAGTAATGTAATGTAGTAAATAACTTATATTAACCTATTTCTGTCCTGACTTATCTCAAACAAAGACTTAGCTAACTGTATCGTGAAAATGAAATACTTATGGCTTAATGGCGACAGTTGACCCATTGTCGCAGCTACAAGAAGCCCATGTAGGCGATCCTTGATCGTCTAGTTTTTGTATGATCCTATAGCTTATACATTGCAATTACAAAATCAAACAAAAGAGGCGAATAAAGATTATTCTAACCCAGCAGTACTCTTTTGCGTACTACATGAGGCTAATAACTGGTTGGAGTTAAACATGTGTACTAAGTTTMTTTTAACTTT